TGTTGGGAGTCTGGGCTGTGCATTGACTATTACCAGTTCAAGTTTCTCGGTTTATATCTGGATCAAGAAACTCTCCAAAAACCCTTTTACACCTGGTTTACGTTTCCCAAAGTATCCCAAATTTCACCGGGAGATCCTATTTCAACTCAACTTCGTTTACAATCGCACTTCAGAAGACTTTATCCGTGTATTTCGTTTGATTTAAAATATGCAAGCTATCAAGAGTTTTAGCTATAGCTTGGCTATAACCAGATCAAGTTTATTTGGTTTACATTGAGGTCGAAAGACTTTCCAAAATTCTTATTACACCTGGGTTAAGTTTTCCAGAATGTCAAATTGGAATATAAAACCCCATGAGTTATTGAGAAAAAAATGTATAAAGCAAAGCAAAGCCAGGACTGAAAAAGGTTAAAACTTGTGAATGTTCGGATAACTACAGAAACATCTTGCTAAGAGTGACAAGGGTTCGTCGTTTGCCCATCCTTCAGACAAGTGCGTCGTTACATGTAGTTGTCTATTGAGAACATGCTCGTAGAGGCTCACTGGAAAAAATTTTATTGGGAAAGTACTACTTTCCCGCGAATTTCTATTTTGCCTGTTGTGAAAGTCAGGAGTTCTGGTTCTGTTGGCTGGTGGTTTACAGCGTGAGCCTGGTGTTGACATAACTGTCCGAAAAGGTGTAAAATGTTAAGAAGATCAAAACAGGCGATACGGCCGAGACAAAATGTCTCCTCTTCTCTGCAGAATTCCCAAATTGTGTGAACGTTCCTCCAAACAAGTATTTAACAATAAGAGACAAAAAGGTGTTCGCGTAAATACTTTCCTTTTGGCGGCCTAAAATTAAAGAAGTTATTCGTTTGCAAATGTTTCAATACTGGACCATGACAGGTTACGGGTACCAACAGCGCTCTCTTACCGAAAATGACTTTCATACTATAAATGACCAAATTTACAATATTTTCAAGTACAAAAGGAAAATACTTTTTACTGCACAAATATCGTTCATTTTAGGTGCAAATTGTAGATACATCTTTAATCTCCAAAACACTGTGCGTTGATTTACAGATAAGTATATATAAAAACTCAGAAGTCTGAGTTTTACGAAGCTTTCTAGGCCAATTTGGCTCATTCTTCTTTAATTTAGGGCTCTCCGAAGGGTAGTCGCGTTCAAATTTGCCGCTTTATTGTTAAGGAAAAAATTAATGATGTCTACGCATTCTGCTCGATCGGATCGAGCAATAA